GTTGAGCGACTGGGTCCGCTGGCGTTCCCGCACGTTGGCGATCACGCGCTGCGTGTGCACGTCCTCGAAGGATTGCGGGACGGGGCTGCGCTTGCTCCGCTTGCCCTGCGGCGAGGGGGCACCACAGTCCTCCGCCGGCTTGCCCCCCTGGCCACGCTTGCGGAGGCATTTCTTGTGCAGCCGCTCGCCTTCCTCCTCGCTGGTGACCAGGCTGCCTTCGGGGGAGTCCGGGCACATGCTTTCCTCTTTCATCTTCTCGGCACCTTGCAGGCGAAGGGCTCTGGGGTCTCACGAGATGCGACGGCCGCAGCACATGGGCAAGGCGGCCTGGAGAGCAGCCAGCGCCCGCTCAAGAGGTGCAGCCTGGAGCATCCACCCTTCAGCTTCCCCAAACTTCCCAAGCCTTGCGGAGCCCTCCAAGGAGCTCCGTTGGTTTTTCCTTTGGGCTACGGAGAGGAGGGCGTTCGAATAACTTTGGGGAATGGCTCTTGCTGATAGGGCGAGGAGGACCGTGGGCGGACCAGACACAGACCAATGCAGCCGTGCAAGGTAATGCAAACATCAGTGGAGCTTATGGGTTCCAGATTTCCTCCCTCCTCCACCGACACCCCCAAGCCCTCCGGCACAGATGCTCCTGCCTGCTGCCCGGATGTCAGGGGACATTGCCTATGCTAATGTGAGCACCAGCCATGGAGTTCAGAGGAGGCTTTTTTGGGGTTTAGTCTTTTTTTTCTTTTTTTTATGCCCAGTTGACCCTGCAAAAGCCAGCCAGAAATACTCACTTGTCCAGTTTGGAATAGGAGACTTTTATCTACGAGAGATTAAAGTGGAAATGTGGAGCAATGGATGTTTCAATGGACTCAATTCTCTGAGTCCAAAGGAAGCAGCAACAGTGATAGGCATCCATCCTGCTCTTGAGAAATGGCAGTATGAACTTGAGTTTGCATCCGTTCATCCATCCGCCCAATCCATCCCTTCCTCCATCCATCCATCCATCCATCTCTCCTCCTCTGTCTACATTTCTGGCAGTCTACAATAACCCTTATTATAGAGATAGAAGCCGATGCTCATCCACCATCAAATTCCTCTCAAATAAATATGGCAGCTGTTGCAGATAGAGAGGGTGGATCCACCGCCAGTTCTGCCCCTGATTTCCCCAGGAAATCAAGCACTACAAGCGGTGTTGCTTCCTTACACCACTCCTGAGCTTGCCTACAAATAAACCCGCTTTCTCCTCCCTGCAGAAATGCTGGGAGAGCTGCATCCTCTTCTAGCCAAGGTTGGAGGTCCAGATTCGGACTACCAAGGCATAAAATATTCTGCCCAGGTCCCTCCTTACATTGGATAGTTTTCAACCCTCTGTTATCACACCAGTAGAATCAACGCATGAAACTGGAGTCCACTGGTGATCCACCAGCCTCCCATGCCCAGCCACCCGCTCCCAAAAAGTCCTACACCTTTGGGAACCCCTATAACCTTCCCATCTCCTGCCTGTGCCCTCTCTGCCTCTCCAAGGTGTTTTTTCTCCAGCCTCTGTTGACCCCGTCCAAGCTGTCTCTGCTCATCACGTTCTCCTGGCATTGCTCCCTGCTCCCGCTCATCGGGAGCTCTCACCCTGAGTCTCTCTGGAGGGACACTGAAGTCCTTGGGGACACGATGCTCCCTGGGGATATTGGGGCCCATCCCCAGCAGAGCTCCGTAACTCTTGCTAAAATCTTGCTTTGCTGTTCTGTCTTATAATGAGAGCACAAAGGGGTATTATGGGAACAATATAGTTTAAAACAGTAATTCATCAAAATAACTAAAATAATATCAATAAAACATAAATTGATGAGTTGACATATGCCTGTACTGTATAGATATTTTTAAATTAGCTCCTTTTTGTAACACGTAACAAGTTTCCACACACAATATATTTTACTAACAGGAATATATAACGTACTACAGGGTTCTCCTACCCTGATGAGCCCGCACGGTGCTGCAGCGGGATCCCCACCCACCCCCAGATGCAGCGACTCGGGCTGAGCATGACCAGGAGGCTGCAGGGGAAAGTCCTTTAAAAGGCAACGACTTTTTTTTTTTAGTCTTGCTGCATATAACAAATTAATATTCTCATCTTGTCAGTATTATCTTCATCCTGAATAACCTACACTGTTGTACTGCAGTCTTCCCTTGAACCTCTGTTCAAAAACTTCCGACCCGCTCCCTACAGCCTGAAGAGGAGGAGGATGGCCGCTCTGCTCTTTGAGGTGGGGGCTGAATAAAAGCAAGCGCCTTGGCCAACTTTGATCAAGCAAGCTACACCCGTTTCCAGTAGAAAAACCTCAATTCAAGCTCAGCTACAAGGTATTTCTTAAAAACATGCTCCATAGACCTCAGCTACAAGGTATGGCTCCATAGACCTGCCAAGCATCTGCAGCCTTGCTGACCAGACACGCATCCCGTGTCCATCAGTGCTCACACCAAAACCCTTTCCAAGCACTTTGCCTTCCTAATTACACCACCCAGATGCTGCTTTTTCACTCGGGATGCAGGCACCGCACAGATGCTTGTCTCTATTTTAAGGAAATGTGTGTTTTCACATTCTTCCATGGGTTTCTCTCCAACATGCTGGGTGGGGGCCCAAGTGGCAACCTCAAAGAGCCGCCTCGGCCCCTGTCCCAGGGAGACCTGAGCGATACGGGACGATGATTTTGGATATGAGAGGGCTTTGGCTCAGCCCCATCCTCCCCGCGCTCGTGGCAACTTGTCAGGGATGGCAGTAGCCACGGATGGGAGCGAGCAGCCAGCCAACATTTGAAAAACGCCCAATATTGCTTAAAGAAGTAAAAGATGCCGAGAAACAGGTTGATACCCGGAGCTGCTGGGATGGAGCCCGGTGACTTTGCTCCATCCTCCTCACCGAAGCCCGCGGTGCCGGCGGGGCATCGGCTCAACGCATTACTCACACGCGAGCGTTGTCAGGCCAGCCACTAATATCAGATGTTCATAATGCGGAAAGACAATAGATCACAGGGGCCTGGGAAAGCGAGAGAAAACAAAGGGCGAGGAAAAAATACCCCAGGGATGGCAGGATTTAGGCAGGATCCAGGGTCCTCTGATCCCGCGCTTGGAGGAGCTGGCTCAGCTCCGCCGAGGGCTGGGGAGCTGCCAATTAACACCAGCTGGGGCACGGGCTTGTGCCTGGGTTTTATTTTTTTATTAATTTTTTTTTATTGTTTTCCTTTTTTAAAAAAAAATAATTTAATTTTGCTGGCGAATGGTTTTGGACGAAGGAAGTGAAGTTTGGTATTGTTGCTGATATCCTTGAGCAAAAGGAGAAACACAATGAGCTTTGATCTACGGGAAGGATGAGCTGAGCACCCCGAACCGCTCGAGCGGGCTTTTTTACCCAGATTTGGATGTTTTGTGGCAAGAGTATTTTTCCCTTAAACATTTCAATTTGTTCTTTCAGTGAGTGTTTTTTGGAGGAATATTAATATAAACTTTTCATGGAAAGGTCACAAGTCACCAAACTGGTTTCAATAACTTTGCTTTTCCAGCTAGCTGGGGGTTTTATAGCGCTCGTTTTGACAGATCAGTGAAAATTTCAGACCTTAAATATGCAGAGGGGGAGAAAAAAAAAAAGCCTAGCTCGCTTGATTCAGAGAGAAGCCACCAGATGGAAGATTTGAATTCCCACCATGTCCCAGCCTCCCCTCCTGGCCCTCCTCTGCCCTCTCGCTGCTTACATCCCTCTTTCCTGAGCAGCTTTTCTTTGGGTTAGGTAGGGAATGTCCCCGGCCCTGGGGTGTCCTCAGCAGATCTGAAGCTGGTTTGCAGGGCTCCTGCAGGGCCAGTTAGCGCTTTGGAAAGAAAGGAAAGGTGAAAAAAAAGAAAGGAAGGACACTGCCAAACCACACATGGGCAGAGAGCGAGGGAGCAGGGAGTCCATCACCTGGAAAAACAGGGCTGAGGGGCACCAGTAACTTCAGAGAGGCTGTAGGACCTCAAATGGGAGCTCTTTTGCAGGGTGGAGGTGAGAGCCAAGGTTTCTTTCGAAAGGGGTTGAGGTGTCCCCTCAAAACCGCATCCTTTGGTGGGCTGAAAGCACATCTTGGTCAACCTCAGCCTATTTCTGGCTCTGATCCTCACACCGCCTGTAGATGCTCTTCACCAGCCTTCAGTCCTGGAGCTGTCTGACCCCCCTCTGCCATCTGCTTGGTTGCAAAACAAGCCAAGCCCTTTCGGTCTCCACCGTAAGCAGGTCTCCGAACCCCCTGGTGATGCCGGCTCCACTCCATGCTGTCCCCGGGGGGGGACGAGGCTTTCCTCTCCGTCCCAGGAGAGCTCAGCGTTGACACAAACACTTACTCACCTTCTTTCAGTACAACTCACCGGCTCTCACAAATGTCCTGGGACATCCTGGCTTCTCTCCATCTGCCACAGGTCTGCAGGCATGGTCCACCAGAGCAAGAGGTGGTTGCTCTCTGCATGGTCTGAAGAACAGTGTGGCACTGCCATGCCTCCGGGTCCAGCTCCGTCCCACTCAGGACACCCCACGGGAGCGCAGAGGAACCACTTAATATCCAAACAGAAAACATTTATTTCAGCAATTTGCTTCTTATTCACTGGTGATGTCACATCTTTTGGCTTTTCTGAGTTGGATCTAGAGCGTGAGGATCTGCCCCGACCTTGTCAGACACACCGAGCTGGGTGGCGGTGATGGGAGAAGGTCTCACGGGGCAGATGGGTTCTTTGGGCCAACGCACGCTGGAGAAGAGCTCGGTACGGAGCTGACGCTCCACCACCACAGGTATAAGGATGGTGGACAGGAGGTTTCTGCATCCTCGGGTTTTGGTGGGGAGGTTGAACCCACGATTCTTTCCTGTGTTGTGTGGCATAAACCAGAGCTGCATCTGCTGTAACAGCGTAAAGAGGAGCGGCTGAGAGAGCTGGGCTCAACCCCAACAACCTCCACAGATGCAACGACTTGCCCGTGGTGGGGTTGGGACAGGACATACATCACGGTCTGTGTGCAAACGCCGTTTTGGGCTGGGGAAGCTGAGAAAGTGCCACCCCCAGCTCCACCCTCAGTTTGCTCGCCGGTAAAACGGGGCTGCAAACCTGCCCGAAGAGCTGGGGCTGCGCAGGGATAACACGGTCCATGTGTCAGCCCGGTGCTGTCGATAGCATCGCTTTGATGGCCAAGGACCTGATTACGCCTGCAAATAATTCTGGGCACAAAATCAGAGGCCGAGCCTCGATGCAGA